TTGGTTACCACGTTGGTTTCCATGGTTTTGATTGGCTACGTCATTAACAACGAGCCTCCTCCACACGCGGCTCACCTGCTGATGTAAAAACAGAATCGCAGGTGGAAAAATGTGACAAAGACAAAAGTGAACACAATGACAAAGTCACTCTACTCATTTTAGAGAAAAGCTCATTGATTAGGACATAGTAATGTTGATCTCCACATTTAAAACCTGAACACATCTGATTGGATTATAAATGATTTCATCTTCATCTTTTATTCTTTATTCAGATTGAGGAACTGCTGGTTGTCAGAGATCAGCTGTTCTTCTCTGGTCTCAGCTCTGAAGTCCAACCCCTCCCATCTGAGAGAGCTGGACCTGAGTGACAACTACCTGCAGGATTCAGGAGTGAAGCTGTGTGGTTTTCTGGAGAGTCCACACTGTAGACTGGAGACTCTGAGGTCAGACACCATGTTTTCTTTCTGTGCTGAGATGAATGTGATGTTAAGTTGTGCTGACAGTAAAGTGCAGACATAAGGCTGATATTATACTGATCCACACTGAGTATCTGAATGCTAAAGGCTGTTTTCTTCTTCAGTGGTTTAGTCCATTGACTGTGGCAGAGCAATGTTGAGCTCCACATTTAAAACCTTCATATAACAAGAAGAATCTACACTGAATAATTCACTGTGAACCTCTTCAGCTCTGGATTTAATCTGATATTAACATCATTGTTTTTATAAATGAGAATAAAAACACATAAATACAATAAATAGATAAATAAACTTTATTATCAGACAATAACAATATTCAGTTCATGCTTTTCAAACATTTCATGAAACTGTTTATATTGACTGAACCTTTTAATTCTAAACATCTTTTATTCTTTATTCAGATTGAGTGACTGCAGGTTGTCAGAGATCAGCTGTTCTTCTCTGGTCTCAGCTCTGAAGTCCAACCCCTCCCATCTGAGAGAGCTGGACCTGAGTGACAACTACAGCCTGAAGGGTTCAGATGTGAAGCAGCTGTCTGATCTTGTGGAGAGTCCACACTGTAGACTGCAGACTCTGAGGTCAGTAGAGGGTCTGAGTCAGTCCATGCTGGTTCCAGCAGTCTTGGACTAAACACAGATCCAGTATTTGCTGCTTTCCTCAGTGAAGCTGTGAGAGGAGAATGGGGACAGGCTTCAGGATTGGACAGACAGACAGACAGAGAGAGAACAGTCAGCCAATCAGAGAGCCAGAAGCTTGTTGTGATCATGTGTTTGAGTTGATGTGAAGACGACTGTTGTTGTTGTGTTCATGTGTTCAGGAAATAAAGTGGATTCCAGCTGACAGCATTACAAGATGTATAGAGACAGTGGTCCTCATTCATCCAGTCTGATCTCACACTGTTTGTTCTCTCATTTCTACACTAAACAACTGATCAGTTGGTCTTTGTCACAGCTCTGAGATCAGTCTGATTGAAGCCTGCAAACAAGCATCAATACATTTAGTGACCATGTGGTCTTTGTACAGACCAGGACCTCTGCTGGAGTCCAGTACCCACAGCTGATGTGTTGCTGTTCAGTCTTTGTATGAACATGTAGGACCTTTAACATCAGATATATATCTGTCCATTTGTCTCTTGTTTGTCCAAATAGTTTGAATATTTACACATTTGTCCTGTAAGAGTTCAGATGAAACATTCAAATGTGACTGAGACTGTGGTTTTTATCAGCTTTGAACCCTAACAGCAGTGAATGCATCATTCCAGTGGGCAGTGAATGTCTCTCTGTTTCTGCAGTAATGATGCGTTCAGGGACTCTCAGCACTTTATTTCCACTGTGTACTTCAGTGAAATCTGCAGTCAGCAGACTTGATGTCCAAAGTGTGTGCAGGTCTGTGATCTTCAGCTCAGTGTGTTCACTCCAATACGTTAACATGAGAGCTGAAAGGAAGCAGGCTACACTACACAGCCGCTCCACTGCTGGTCTGAACTGGACTGAAGTCCCTGCTGCTCTTTATACTGGATGTGCTGATGGAGGGAGTCTCTGTAAACACTGATTTATCTCTGCTGTCCTCTGTCTCCTTCTCTCCTCAGCTGGAAGTGATCTCAGTCAGAGTGTGAGTGGTGAGGAAGGAGGTTGTGTTGGAGGATCCGCTGTGTCCTGATGATCCAGAGAGGTTGAAGCAGCAGCATCAGCTCTGACTGGGCCATGTTACTGGGAGGTAGAGTGGAGAGGAGAGCTTCATCCAGCAGTGACTGACAGAGGAATCACAACCAGTGGAGACGACTCTCAGTGCTGCAGTCTGAACTGCTCTGAGATCAGCTCCCTGTGTGTTCTTCTGGATCATGTGACAGAGTATCATCAGTGTACAAACACACAACTGTATTATCACTGTATATGGCTGAGGACAGTTTGGCGACAGCGTTATCGAGTTGATTATTGATTTTCAAGATGGACTACTAAAAGAATCCAACGGTCGCTAACAATAATGTTAGATGTTGTTAGCTCGTGCAGCTAAACTGCCTGTATTCACACAAATTCCTCATTATGGATTGCACCAGCTTCATCATGTGTAGACCACACCATGAATATTTCATGTAAATCAGATCAAAATGGCCACACAAGGGTTACTTCCTGTTTCCAGTAGGTGGCGCTATCAGTATGATTGAATATTAGTACGGAGATGTGTTCAGGTTGGAGATTTGTGGAGATTTGAGAAAGTAAACTAAAGCTATGACAACTTTCTGTTTAATGGACACGCCAGTCGATGAACAGTCACAAAAACAACAACATTTTAATCGTGATGGTCTTCAGATTGCACTTCAATTTAAGTTCACACGATCAATTCCCTCGGAGGAAGGTTAGGCTCATCGCCAGGGTGGTGGGGGCTGATTTAAAATGAGAATTGTTTTTGGAGAAGACGGTGTTTCCTTAATGATGACACATCGTAGTGATTCTGTGACTGAATACAGTAAATACACTCCTGAACAAAATCTTTAAAAAAAACTTGAGTATTCGCATTTCACGTTGGTGGAACATAAAAATATCGTAAGTAGAGCTTCAAAATGCCAAAAGAAGAAACAGGAGCAAGAGACAAAACAATAGAGTAGACAATTTATTGAAAATTGTATTTGAACTAAAATAGGCTCGAAAAGTTTAAGACCAGTTCCTTGTTGGACCCGGATCACATGAACCCTCAGAACAACAGAGACGGATTATTATAATCAACCAACTTTAGAGCAAACGTTTCTCAATTCTTGTCACACTCTGTTTCCCAACAGCAGCTCAGCAGAAACACACACACACACACACACACACACACACACACACACACACACACACACACACGACCTGCAGGATTTATGACATCACAGCTGGTCGTGGATATAATGTGTGTTTATTACTGTTCAGGTTGTAGTTCTTGCAGTCGGCCACTAGAGGGAGATAAAGCTCACTGATTACTGGAGACTGAAGATTTAAAGACTCTTTAAAATGACCTGAAACATCTGGAACGATTTACATCTGAGGAAATAATATTTACAGTTTATTTAACTTTAATTTTATAACTTTATTTTATTATTGTATTGTATTTCTTTATTGGTGCATTTAAATTCTGTCTGTATTATATTTTTGTGTGTAACATGAAACAATTGCAAACCCTTATTTTGTGATAAAACCTTTTATAATGATAAATACATTTCTTTGATTTAATGACACTACATTATTATAATAAATCTTATTGTATGGTTGATATATTTTAAACAGAAATTTAATTTTACCTAATAATCCCGACTGACAAACTAATTATCTGAAAAAAGGTAAAGAAAACACAATAAATTGAATAATAAATCAAATAAAACGTACTTTTTAATTAACTTTTTGGCTTCATTATTAAAAATATATATTTTTTGTAATTAAATGTAAATGTGATTTATTGTTGTTTATTTTATTTTCAGACATTATTGGTCAGATTTTCTCAGTATTTTGCTGTTTTTAAATCTGATTTGTTGCATTAGATTCAAACTAGATTTTCACTTTTCAATACAAACAAGTTTGTAGTTTTATCAACATAAAGCTGAAGTTTAACTGAATTAATAGTTTAGTTTTGACCCCAAAATCAGCAGAAAATCACAGAATTCAACATCTCTAATTCCACTTCCTTTATTTACATACAAAACACAGTATAAAGTGTTACAGCGTCATAAAAAATAAATTCTGTACAAACGTTTGTGACTGTTAGAGAACAATCAGGTCGTGAAGGATATCTACAGATATTTACAGAAGAGCTTCACCGGGACGCGGCGGCTCGTGTGCTTCAGTACGGTCAAGATGGAGTTAAAAACTGACAACAAAAACAAAAACACTGCTGTGTGCTGCAAACATAATATGAACAAAAAAAACACCAAATTATGAGCTTTTTCCAGGACGTTGTTGGTTTGATAATAAAAAAAGCCAATGAGGAAGACAACAAATACAAAGACATCATTTTATTTCCTCCAAACAAAACCTGCAGCTTCAGTAAAACGCAGTAATTATTCAACAATCTTTGGTTTCTTTAATTAAAAGGAGAAAAAAAAACAGAAGTCTTAAACTGTTAAGTTGTCTTTGTTGCTAAGCGCTCTTCGACTCAAAAACGTCACCTGTCAATCAAACACTGTGGGCGGTACTAGTTGATGATCATGGCTGCTAATGCTAACGCTAACTACCACTAACTCTAACCAAACAGACAATGCAGCAGTTAAGAGCTACTCAACTGTTATTGACCCTTCCTAAACCCCGCCTAGCACATAGCTTATTTATTCCCAGGGTGGCGAAGTCATGACCCGCCCTCCTCTGCCTCTGATTGGCTCGTACTCAGAAAAAAGGGGCGGGACTTAGGAAGTGTGTCATTAGCAGTAAAATGCAGTGCGACAGTCATTAACTACAAACATGTTTGCAGACGACTACTTCCTGTCTGTCAGTCTTCCAACGTGGCGGCATCGAACCGGCGGTGAGGCTCAAACACTGAACGTCGTCCCCGAAGCTTCTAGCTGGCCATCCACAGGGTGAAGGGGATGAGGAGGGTGGGCAGGGCGGTGCTGGGGGATATTCCCAAACACGCCATGGACAGCAGACCCAGCAGCGCCGTCAGCAGGACGTTACGCTGGTCCCGAATCAGCGACTTCAGCCACTCACAGAACTGGAAGACGGGAAATAATATTAATCAATATTTAATGTTTCAATAAGAGGAAACTTTATTAGAAACAGCAAAACATTCAAGTTTCCTTCAAAATCCTTTAAAAAACAAGTTTGTTTGTTGTTGTTAAAAGGAATCGACCGATGTATCGTTATCAGATTAACTAGCATCATTCAGGCTATAATGAGAAGTATAATGTCGTCCCTTTGAGGGAGGTTATTTTGCTAAATGGGGGGCAACAGGGGCCCACAGCTCACTTTTGCCCCGGGGCCCCCGGAGGGTTTGATCCGGCCCTGCTAGAATGTGCAAATCTCTTTTTGTAATCTTCCCAAAACAACATATTACAGCTGAGAGGGCTAAAGATAAGTGCTAACGATCGCTAACAGCTAACTAGCTTTTTTCTGAAGATTTCAACCCGTAAAGAAATTTCACATTTCAAGCTCAAGAAACTTTAAAGTGCAGAAAGATTTCTCCTGCAAATATTCCCTCAGTGAGAACTTCTACTGAAGGAATCCAGCCTATAATTGATCTGTTGTTTATTTTACTGTGGGGCCCCCTGAGGCCCCTGTTAGAGCTCCTGTCGAACAAGTTCCCAAAGTTTGGTACGCAACTTGAAGTCACATTACGAGGAAACATGGCGGAGAAGAAGGAGGCAGAAGGATAGAGAGCACATAGCTGCCCTGGTGACCTCTCATGACATTATATTTTACAACTGTTAGATGTAGCGATGGAGATATTTACCGTATTTTCCGGACTATAAGTCGCACTTTTTTTCATAGTTTGGCTGGTCGTGCGACTTATATATGAAATTTAACATGTTTTTGAATAATAATTTCGACATGAAACGAGAAGTAGCCTAAACATTACCATCCAGCCCCGCAGAAGAGGAGACAGCGCTTCGTCTTCCTCCGGAGTTGGCGGAGATGTCCAGAAGCGACACGGAGGACGAAGAATTTAATGGATGGTGAACTGCTGTAAAATACATTTCTAAATAAGGTAGCCTCCCGAGTATTTGCTCTGCTGCCGGCGTTTGCCTAGACATCGCCCAAAATGCTTGATTGCATTGCATTCTCCACATTTTTAGCTAAATTTTCATGTACCACATCAGCATTTTTGTTCAGTGAATCTTTTGTAAACATTCCCGGTAGAATTCTCAATCTTTTTGGCCTCTATGTGTCCAGTTACATAGTCTCTGTCTGTTCTTGGTCATGGATTTTGTGAAATACATTTCTAAATAAATGCGACTTATGTCCGGAAAATACGGTATAGATGCAGAAAACTTTGGATTGTCATGCAAAATATGTGACTGTTGCAACACAGGAAGAATACAGTTTTCTGACTCATGGTCAACCGATATGGGTTTTTTACTGGTCAATACCAATATTTAGCAAGCAAGGCTGGCGATGGATGATATATAATGCCAATATCAAACTACAGGAAAGTATATCGTGTAGAATTTTAGTCTTTTCTATAGAAAATTCTGACATATGTTTACATCAGGATGCATGAGAGTTACAGAGTAATCAGTTGAAGACATGAAGACCTCAGCAGACAGATCTTCAGTCTTACTTTGTACAGTGCTGGTCTGACTGGCTGTCTGCAGTCCAGGTCTTGTTCTAGATCTTTCTCCACACTGATGAACCAGACTGGTCCCAGTATGAGGTGATGCACTGGCGGCAGAACCAGTGTCCACAGCTGGTAGAGACTGGATCCTTCAGGACGTCCTGACACAAAGAACAGCAGGACAGCTGATCCTCCACAGAAACATGAGTCCTCTCCTTCTCTCTGTGGACACAAAGACATTTATTTTCAAGAAAGTGGGAATTAGGTGAGGATTTTAAATTCTATTCTGAATTTTACAGGGAGCCAGTGCAGAGACGCTAATACAGGAGAGATGTGATCTGATGACATGACTGTTTCTAGTGGAAGCACAGAGAAGTGTGTAAGACAGCAGCTCTGCTTCCTGGTCCCAACTCTGGACTGTCAGGTTTTAGAAATAAACTTTGCCATATTTTTAGATAAGAGAGAAGAAAAGTCTCTAAAAGAAGGAAGTAGGTCCGAGTGTTTAGGTAGAACTAGTCTACGTTTAAATGTTAAGCGGGTAAATAACTGCTGTAACGAGTAAAACTAGTTTGTTTTTAGTGTTCACTGGACAGAGCTAACAGCAGCAAACACTGTACACAGGAGCAGGAAGTAAACCGGTAATGACTCAGTACGCTTACCGTTGCACGTCCAACCGGATAATCAGTGATTTATAACAGTGATAACAATAAATCCTCCTCAATGTGGCACACTGGAGCTTTAACAACAAACAGAAAGATTGCATCGACACAGACTCAGAGGGTGGAGGCGGAGAGGGGAGGGACTGAGATATCTAAGAGTGGAAGTATTTGGTGTCGGTGTGACAGTTGAACTCGTGGTTGAATTAACTGCAGATTTGTACACTAGAAATACTGACTGAATTTACTTCTTTTCATTTTAACCAACCACAATGAAATCCTTAACACTGTAAACACCCAGAGATCTCCGGACACTTGAAGAGAATGACACAGTAGCTGACTGTGTCGATGCCTGTTCCAAACACTGCAAATGTCAATAAATAATTCAAAGAAATTTTATGAATCCTTATTAACCTGATCAAGTGTATTTGAGAACAGTTTATACTGTCACACAGTGTGTAAGGAAACATACAGTCTGCAGTATATGTTTAACACAGTGTGGAGATCAACTGGTGATAGCCTACAACATTTTACTATCGATCATGTCGCGTCTACACTTTTATCTCATCAATCACAATGATATTATATACACAACAGCACACTCTTTCATCCAAGTTAGACAAATGTCTGTTAAAACTTTAATCACTAGAGGGTCTACAATATACAAATCCGATTCACATGTCACAACTTTGTGGGATTTTGAATAAATTGGACAGAGATTATAAGATGTGATAGAATTGTGGTATTATATATAGAAACAGTCAGTATATGTTTAATACCATCTTGATGTAGAGTTGTGGCGAAGCATTATATGACCAGATTAACTTGTGATGCAACGTCTGTCTACCATTGATCACGTTTCATATTAAAGTTTACAGACTTTTATCTTTTATTAATATTATTTATTATATTATTATTATTTTCTATACATGTCAGAAGAGTCTTTCAACCAAATTAGACATTGTTACTAATTTTACAAATAGGGGTATAACTTATTCAAATCCACAGAGTTGTGACATGTGCAGCAAACATGTTGACTAAACTAAACTAAACTAAAATTTTGTAGACTATTGGGATGAGTGAGCGAAACGTCTAGATTTTCTAAGATGTATTGTAAAGCTGTTGTATGATTACAATATATGATATCCAAAGGAGTCTTCGATGTATACTCGGGAAGGACTCAGAATGGAAACAACTGTAGCAATCAGAAGTTGTTAATGTCTCCACGTAGTGAGGAGCAGACGCCAACATTATTGTCCCAGTAAAGTGTTTCTATTGCAGTGTTTTAAAAGTCACCAACAAATGAATGTCATAGAAGTAGTCAGAATATATATTTCCTGGTTCAACAATAAGGAGTCCTAAAAAGCCACACCTACACACATCTGCCTCAGTATCACCAGTCAAACTTTTAACCTCCACATCCATTTCATAGCAGCTGAGCAGGAAGGTGGAAACAGGGTGAGTGTTCATACAACATTATTCTTGTTTTACTGTCAGAACCTGAGCCAGTTGTGTGTCTGTGAACTGCTGAGGAAAGTCAGAATGAACTCAACTGTTTGATTTATCTGTGGATACAAAGTCTGAGTAAAAACTTCTATTAATTATTTGTGTTGTGCTTTCAGTAATCAGCTCTCAGGAGAGGCCACTGCTCACAAACACTCAGTAAAATGTGTGTAAAGAAAGAATTGATGGGGTTAGCAGATCTGCTGATACAGAAACATTAAAACCTGTTGGATGTTAGTTCAGTAATTTAGACTCTGCTGTTATCTGCTGGTACAGCACCTCTCTGCATCAAACACAAGCATCAGACTGATTTAAGAATTTAATTCAAGTGGACATCAAACAGCCTGATTTTAACCAGTTTTACAGAATTGAGTGCGTTGAAATTGTTTTCTATAGATAAAATGAGGACATGACTACTGAAGTCCCCCCCTAGCTTCCTGTTACAGGAAACGTGAAGCAAACCGCACTCTGCTTCCTCTTTAATGCAAGAATGTGAGAAATTTCTGAGTATGCGCTGTGAGCGTTACTGGACACACTCTACTGAAAATGCACTGTGTCTCTTCAGACTGTACAATGGCAGACTGTGAGCCAGATGGTTCTAGCGCCACACTGTGGCTGGTAAGAGGCATGGTTGGATAGACCATGAACTTGAAGCAGTAGCTACTCAGGATCCGGAACGTTAAGGTGCAGTTAGGAGGAAAAACAGCAGAGCTCAAATACATATTGTACTCTAGAAAAAATATTTCAGCTAACATTAACATATTTACTGTAAAACTTCCAATAAAAGCAGGGTCCCTAATAGACGCAGGTCTCATTTAAAAGCCTGGTGTGGCTACACGTTTGACAACAGGGGCGGAGCTAAAGGGGTGGCCGGAGTAGCACTGGCCACCCCTGGAACCTGATTGGACACCCTGGGTGCCGCCCCAGTTGATTGACAGGTCACTGCACCTCACCTCAGATAACAATGAAGGGGAAGGGAGATATTTCCAACGTTTTTGCTAAAAAAAAAACCAAATCAGACACAGATCAGGCACTGACAGACCCCAGCCTAGATATCAGCAGCCCGGGCAGCTCCCAACATGAAACTAGCCAGGCAAATCATTCATTAATTCTCATACCAATGCCTTCTTTATTTGATCCTTGAGTCTTGCGTCTAGTGTCCGTGATGTGCAGCCTTCTCTTTGTTTTGCCAAGACATTGACTTTTCCCACTGTTGTTTTTAATTTTCTGAATGAATGACGGTGCGCCGGTTTAATTGCTGTGCCAGAAACTGAAAGTGAAACTTAGGTCTATTTCCTCCAGCCACTTTCCATCTGTCATAAAGCTCTATTTTCTGAGTTTAATTCAACAGTCAAGAAGGCATGTTAACTACCAGGTTAGCTCAGTCGGTACAGCTGGCGAACCATGTACGGAGTTGCTGCAGTGGCCCGGGTTCGAAATCGGATTTTCCTTTATCAGGCCTAGTATATGGCCCCCCTCATAAAGCCTTGACCACCCTCTGGCCACCCCTTGTATAAAAGTCTAGGTCCGCCACTGTTTGACAAATAAACGCAGGTCTGGATTTTATAGAAATTATTTCGATGTATAAAACCTCTTAAAAGCTGTGTCGTATATGGTCGCCCACTTGAGAGAGTTTCAAGTCGTTTCAATCTACTACACAAATATAAATGTTTAAACTTCTGTCAATATGTACATAATGAACATCATTAGATCAGTTATAGATTCTCCAGAATTCAATCGTTCACTATATTTTACGAAAATGACCAACAACAAAGTATAACGTTAATTCAGTCTGACTTACAGGTAAAATGGTAAACAAGAGAGAAGGAAAAATACCTCTGAAGTGATCATAATCATCATGTTAGTCGTCAAATTTGCTGAAGAAAACTCAAGAGAAGCAGCAGTTAGAGTTTAGTTTAGTTTTGTGCTAAAGGAATTAAACGCCTGTCCCAAATAGACGCCTGTTTAAGCAAATAAATGCCCGTGCTATTATTAGTTTTATGGTAAAATATTACATTGAGTGGAAGATTTTATAGAATAGAATTCACTTTATATACAATCATCCCCAAAACAACATGTAGTGAAATCTGTCCTCTGCATTTAACTCATCCTAAGTACTACGAGCAGTGGGCGACCACTGTACAGCGCCCAGGAGCACCGACTGGAGAATTAACATACATGTTTGGATGGTTGGGGACACTGGAGCACCGGAGGACACCCCATGCAAACACGGGGAGAACACACAGAAATACCCTGCCCCAGTCCGGAAGTGAACCTACAACCTTTTTGCTGTGAGGCAACAGCCTTCCCACCCTGATTTACATTTGTGACAAATAACTTTTATTCAAAGGCAGCTTGGATTGTTAGTCATCAATACGTTGTCATGCAGAGAAGACGTATTGATTGAATATAGTTTAGTTATGCTGGTAATGTTATACTCAATCATTCATTCAGTACACAGTATGCAGTACATACTGACTGAGTATGTAATGTGCAGTATGTTATTATGTGACACAGCTTTGGTCTGGTTCTTATTTCATGCACTGCAGAACAGGAAACAGAGCTGACTGTGGAACATTGGACGCTTTCTGAGGTTAACATCTAAGAACTGTTGTCTTATCCACATTTCAATGTGTTCACCTTAAAGCTGTGGTTTCAGGATGATTTTATCTTTCTGGTGTTGTTTGGTGTTGTTGCTGCCAGCGTGAATAAAAACAACAGCAGTTCCTTTATTCCAGAACTAACAGTTGGTGGAACGTAAGCTAACTGAAAATGAGACTTCAGCTGTTGTGTTCTTCTGAAAGAATGAAAGGATCTAACAGTTCATTAGCATCCTTAACATTAACAGTTTCCATGTGGTGGTGCTTTAACTCAAAGATGGCTGTCTTTAACTGAAAGAAGTGTGAGCAGTGTCCCACTTCAAAATGACATTAAGTTCATCCCAGCAGCAGCAGGAGGAGCATTAACTGGACTCTGCACACAAATACTGCAAACTAACACAGCTCCTGTGACGGCCAATCAGAACCTCCTGTTGTTTCTCTGATACATTAGTGTAACTGTTTTCCTTCAGGTTGCCAACACTGCCTGACTTTAACAGAGAGCCACGATGACAGCAGTGGACCTTTTCAACACTCTAGAGGATTTAATAGATGAGGAATTCAAGAACTTCAAATGGTATCTGAAGCAGCCCGACATCCTGGAAGGCTACGAACCCATCAAAGAATACAAGCTGGAGAAGGCAAAAGAAAGGCAGGACACAGTGGACCTGATGGTGAAGACCTTTGACCTTGATGGAGCTCTGAAGGTGACCAAGAAGGTTTTAGAGAAGATAAACAGGAACGATCTGGTGCAGAGTCTGCCAGACACCAGCTCAGGACCAGAAGGTCAGTCACACTTTATTTATTTGTATTTCAGGTAAAGAGTAGGTTTACACAACATTGACAACACGATCCTTGTAAAGGAACAGTGTCTCCAAGTACAGATTGTGTTTACCAAAGAGTAAAACAGGAGGCCTGATCTGGTTATTATGAGAGAATGTTAAGTTATCAATCATTGCTATTTGAGAGGACAGAGGCATGATGGAGCCACCTGATTTCATTCTCTTTTATTTAACCCTTTGTGTAAAACACTGGGAGATATTAAGGTGCCTGAGTAACCTGGATGGTTCTATGCTCATGTGTCCCTATGTGTTGTGTTCATGTGACCCCATGATAATCAGCAGGACTACACACTCCCACACAGACACACACACCAGAGAGTCTCTCAGGATACAGCCCCAGCAGGCAGCAGCCCCCCGTCCCTACACTAATGCCACCGTGGGTTTTAAGAGTCCCTTTTGTCCCACTTTAGAAGTTATAGTTCAACATTTGGTTCCTGCTTTGGGATTCTAGCAGTTTATTTCACTTTCTACCAACTAACCTCACACAGCTTATCTGTTAGAGAAGGCACTATTCAGGGGAAAGAGGATGGTGGAGCTACTTTTAGACTAGTGAACTTCTAATTTCCATTTAATTGACTGTGAAGTTAGTCAACGGCATCCCTAATAGCTATTAAAGCTCCAGGGGTCTCTGAATGGTGGTCAGTCTGTCACACCCTGGTCGGTGTCTCTTTACCTCTCGTTACACAGCACGTCACCATGATGCCACACCTCGTAACAGTGGTTGTCCTGTGCAGTTCTCTGCTACATCTTTTAAATGCTGGGAGGGAGCGAGCTAGCAGAATTTGGGTGTGCAATTACACTTTTAGGGTCATGGTATAACCAGGAATTATTGTTATATGCAGCCAGGAAATACAGTTGATAAATAGTGCAGAAACCCTGAGCGTGTATAGACTCAGAGGAAGCACCCTTCTCTATTAACAAAAGTATGTTCAGACTGAAGGCTCAAGTATGTTGAGGCAGATAAAGTCAATACAAAGATTAGACAGGATCACCCAGACACACTGACTATCAACCCTGATGATTTTTGTTTGTGTTTGTTCAGGAAGTCATTCTGAAGTTTGTCAGCAAAAACTTAAATCTAACCTGAAGAAGAAGTTCCAGTGTGTGTTTGAGGGGATTGCTAAAGCAGGAAACCAAACCCTTCTGAGCCAGATCTACACAGAGATCTACATCACAGAGGGAGGGACTGCAGAGGTCAATGATGAACACGAGGTCAGACAGATTGAAACAGCATCCTGGAAACCAGACAGACCAGAAACAACAATCAGACAAGAAGACATTTTTAAAGCCTTGACTGGAAGAGATAAACCAATCAGAACAGTGATGACGAAGGGAGTAGCTGGAATTGGGAAAACAGTCTTAACACAGAAGTTCACTCTGGACTGGGCTGAAGACAAAGCCAACCAAGATATACAGTTCACATTTCCATTCACTTTCAGAGAGCTGAATGTGCTGAAAGACAAAAAGTTCAGCTTGGTGGAACTTGTTCATCACTTCTTTACTGAAACCAAAGAAGCAGGAATCTACAGGTTTGAAGAGTTCCAGGTTGTGTTCATCTTTGACGGTCTGGATGAGTGTCGACCTCCTCTGGACTTCAACAACACTGAGATCCTGACTGATGTTACAGAGTCCACCTCAGTGCATGTGCTGCTGACAAACCTCATCAGGGGAAAACTGCTTCCCTCTGCTCGTCTCTGGATAACCACACGACCTGCAGCAGCCAATCAGATCCGTCCTGTGTATGTTGACATAGTGACAGAGGTCAGAGGGTTCACTGACGCACAGAAAGAGGAGTACTTCAGGAAGAGGTTCACAGATGAGGAGCAGGCCAGCAGAATCATCTCCCACATCAAGACATCACGAAGCGTCCACATCATGTGCCACATCCCAGTCTTCTGCTGGATCACTGCTACAGTTCTGGAGGATGTGTTGAAGACCAGAGAGGGAGCAGAGCTGCCCAAGAGCCTGACTGAGATGTACATCCACTTCCTGGTGGTTCAGTCCAAAGTGAAGAACGTAAAGTATGATGGAGGAGCTGAGACAGATCCACACTGGAGTCCAGAGACAAGGAAGATGATTGAGTCTCTGGGAAAACTGGCTTTTGAGCAGCTGCAGAAAGGCAACCTGATCTTCTATAAATCAGACCTGACAGAGTGTGACATCGATATCGGAGCAGCCTCAGAGTACTCAGGAGTGTTCACACAGATCTTTAAAGAGGAGAGTGGACTGTACCAGTACAAGGTCTTCTGCTTCATCCATCTGAGTCTTCAGGAGTTTCTGGCTGCTCTTCATGTCCATCTGACATTCATCAACTCTGGAGTCAATCTGCTGGCAAAACAACAAACAAAATCCCTTATGTCTAAATTATTTAAAGACAAACAGAAACTGAAACATCTCCACCAGAGTGCTGTGGACAAGGCCTTACAGAGTCCAAATGGACACCTGGACTTGTTCCTCCGCTTCCTCCTGGGTCTTTCACTGGAGACCAATCAGAATCTCCTACAAGGCCTGCTGACACAGACAGGAAGTAGCTCAGAGACCAATCAGGAAACAGTCCAGTACATCAAGAAGAAGATCAGTAAGAATCTCTCTGCAGAGAGAAGCATCAATCTGTTCCACTGTCTGAATGAACTGAATGATCGTTCTCTAGTGGAGGAGATCCAACAGTCCCTGAGTTCAGGAAGTCTCTCCACAGATGAACTGTCTCCTGCTCAGTGGTCAGCTCTGGTCTTCATCTTACTGTCATCAGAAAAAGATCTGGATGTGTTTGACCTGAAGAAATACTCTGGTTCAGAGGAGGCTCTTCTGAGGCTGCTGCCAGTGGTCAAAGCCTCCAACAAAGCTCTGTAAGTACAGACAGAGTCGGACTTTTGTATTATTAGTTAAATACTCTGCTGTCTGCTTTATTTGTTATTGTATTAATAACACAAATGTTATTCTGTCATTATTAATGTTGATTGTTGTCTCTCCAGACTGAGTGGCTGTAACCTCTCCGAGAGAAGCTGTGAAGCTCTGTCCTCAGTTCTCAGCTCCCAGTCCTCTCGTCTGAGAGAGCTGGACCTGAGTTACAACAACCTGCAGGATTCAGAACTGAAGCTTCTGTCTGCAGGACTGGAGAGTCCACACTGTAAACTGGAAACACTCAGGTCAGATCAAGTTAGTTTGTCTTCAGTCATTTGAAATATGGTTCTAAACTATCACCTCCTTGCAGGGTAAACAGTTTCTCTCATGTCAGAATTTCGGAATCATTAAATTTGGTCATCAGGATTTCAGATTTCAGAAGCTGCTTTCACCCTCAGAAAAACAACACTGGGTCATCCTGTTGTTCCTGATATTTAGGGACGTCCCCGACTGCCGATGTTCTGAGTAGATAATTAGTCGTTAGTTAAAGTCAATAATCGACTGCTCATTGAATGTTTGATATTACTTTAATTATTTAAATAAATATACATGACAGCGGCCTGTTAAATGCTAACAAATAAATCCGTAATGATTGTGAATCAGAACAACCAACAAGGAGACCGAACATTTAGTTCATTTATTCCAACCTAGTGTAACATCACACAGTCTGGTTGTTCAACACACGGAATAAATAACTTCCAACTTCACTCTAACAAATCCTGTAGGACATATGGATACGATGGATGACGTTAACAGTTACTGACTAATTAACTGGTTACAAACTCTATACCAATGTTAATCTTGTTAAATGAACTAATGTAGCTTTTGTCTCTTCTGAGCTGATATGAGCAGAGTAAATAACAGGTACATTTAGAGTCTTTCATTAACAGCAATGCATGTAGGAGACTACAGAACTCCCATAACAATGAAGACATGCTGAATTCCTCTGGACCAAACATTATCCCAGATCTAAACTATCATCATCGTGTAAACACTGCCATATTGTGGAAATGTCAGGAAATAACAGTTCACAAATAGTCCTTCAAAATGTGGGCATTTCTGTCATATAAGGTTTAACGTTCAACAAAAAATAATAGCCCTCAAGCAATGTTTTGGGATTTGTGCACAACTTTTTTTTTCATTTTAAGTTTTAAAATTCTACGTCCAACAATTCAACTTAAAAACATATTTGTAAAAATGCAAAAACATATGCCATGGAACCAACAATATGCATTGTAACACCATTTTAAAACACTGTTATAACATTGGACACGTACATTTCAGAAAATAAATCAAAAGTAATGAAACATTACTGTAATGTTGCTAGCACACATTTTGCTAACTTGAGAAAATGTCAAATTGTAAATTGTTTGTAAATTAGTGTTCCATTTTAAGTAGGCTATATCCATTAATTGTGACTTTATTCTATTTAACATGTGGAGTAAATGTGTGTAGTATGTTCGTGTATGACTGCTCCACAGTTTTTGAAGACCAGTGTGTACAACTGCCTTTGTAACAATTGTCCATGTGGTAAAATCTGTGTGTGTAATGTAAGTGTATGAGACTTTAACTTAGCCAACAATTCAGTCTCAAGTCTACTGAGCAAACTGAATAGTCCTGAACAACTTCTAATTTTGAACTTTCCAAGTCAAACACAAAAA